GGGGAGCGCTGGGATGGGAAGTGAACCGAGCCGAGTTTTCTTCCGAGAAAGTCGTGTGGCGCTCCGAGCTGTGTGCGGTCTTGCGTGGGCGTCTGTAGTGCGTGGGTGAGGTGCGCTTAAGGTTCAGTGATCTTACAGTGCTACGTTGTGGTTTTTTTTTCCTTTAGGTCATTTTTCTTCATGGATTGGGAGATACCGGGTGTGTATTCTGATCTATTGCATACTTAATACAGTTTCAAATATAGAGCTGCATGTTTTAAAGCTGTGAGCAGTTTAAATTTACTTAAGCTTCCTATTTTGCCCTTAATTGAGTGCAGTGGCTAACAACAGATGAAACAGATGACCACTATTTATTTAAAATTTCCCAGCATAAGTCCTCAAACACTGTTTGTTCTCTCTTTTCAGTCACTTACCTAATTTGGTCTGAATGTGATCCCTCTCTTGTTCTTGGGTCAAACTTGATGGAAAAAGAAGTCTGGGTTTCAGATCTTTCATTTTCCTGACAGTGGGTTCCTGGTGCTTGTCTAAACTTAAGAGTTCTCTTTTTTTCCGGACTTGTGGATTGCTGGTTTGCCAGTAGGTGCAGTTAGGCCATCGTTTCTTCTTCAGTATGTCACACTTACGTTAAAATCCAGGCTTACTTGATTTATCTAAGCAAACTCCTAAGTAGTCACCTAAAGTCCACAGATTTCTCTATCTGAAATATGGTCTTCAGACTCAAAAAAACCCCAAACAAACAAATAAATGAAAGAAGCTGTTTGAAAGAAATAGAAAGAATAGGGAATTTCTAGGAGGCATTCTAGGTGTGGTGTAATGTTTCCATTTGAAGCTTGTGTGTGCCAAGATACAAGCATATATTCATTAAAGCCATTGAATTAACAAGTTAGGAGTGTGCTGAAACCTTTTTTTTGGTAGAAAACTTTAAAGGAATTGGCACTTAGATTCTGAAAATAAGTAGCATGAGTGCTTTGTCTAGTGTGCTTCCTTATGGGCAAGATTACACAGTAGTTTTTTAAGAACTCCGATTTTGTTACCTGGAACTTGAATGTTGCCTCTAGGTTGAAACTTGCAATGTTTAAGACACAAACTTCTGAAGAACTAAAAAAAAAAAGTCAGCTGTCAAAATTGAGACTTGCGTAACCTGGACACTTAAAAAGAGTCAAGTCCATGCACTTGGCATTATTCTACAAGTGGAGATGTTTGCTCTCATTTGTAGTGCTGACACACCACCTTGTTTGCATTATCCCTCTTCCTTTCTGCTGGCAGGACGCAGCTGAGGCAGCAGTGCTTCCTGCAGCTTGGCACCAAATGTTCAGCAAGTGATTGCAGAATCTTTTGAGTCTTTGGAATTTGAGTCCTTGCAAATCAGGTTGATGTTGGTTTTGGCAAGGGGAAGAAAACACAGAGATTTGCTCTTTAACATAAATTGTGTTCCTTATACAAATGTCGTATTTCCATTTTGGTGACAAAGCTAACACCCAGTCTCAAGCTTGCAGATGCACTGAGCATACTGGAATGTATGCATTAACAAGTCCTAACACTTCTGTGGAAATATGGTGATTTAGCTGTATTCGTTCCTCTAGTCTATTGCAGATCAGAGTAGCTAAAACTGCCTTTGACAGACTGCCATTCTTTTTTCCAAAAAAGCCATAGCAGTGACCCAAAAAAGAATTGTCTGAAGAGAACTGATTAACAGTTTTATCATTTCCCACAGTTTAAACTGACCTGTTCTACTTCACATTAATTTTTAAATTGCTCACTTCAGCTTACCGACTGTATTTTTCTTACTCTGAGAAGTGTCTAACGAAGGTTATGTTCTTTTTCTCTCTTAGCTATAAATGTATATAGCTATATATATAAATGGCACTTAGTGATTAGTACATACTTGTGAAAATCTGAACAAAAGGTACAACATACAGGATTGTTCTAAAAGAGTCTGCGTAAATGTATATAGAATGTTGCTTTCCAAATTTGTCAAATTAATCTTTATAGTTGGCTAAAAAAAAGTCCCCAAATTCTTACCTAACAGGTTTTTCTCAGCCGTATTTCTCCTTTAGATTCTTATTTGGCTTTCTCTGATACTGCGTATATTATGCAAGTAATATATACCATTAACAAATTGTGGGTGATATGAAAGTATTGGTAGGAAGTAAGCTGAGATACACAGCCAGTGTTTCAGATGTCTGTGCTGTCTGTGTTTGAAACGTCTTTAACTTTAGGGAGCGTATTTTAACTTTTCAGGACGGTATTAAAATTAAAACTGAACCAAACATGCTTTCGTGGCTTGTCTGCTGTTGGTCTGATTAGTTCAGCTGTGTCACTGATGAATTTGTTATGGGTGTTTTCTGCTTAGAATCGACTTTCCAGTATCTAGTTTAGTGGATGAGTTAGGAATACTGAATAATGAGAAAAATCAGGAAATACAGATACTATCTGGAAAGCAAAGTGCAGGCACAGGCAGTGGTTCTGCACAGGTTCGGGTTTGGGTCCAGCTTGGTTCATGTCTAGACAAGCCCTGGAGTGAGTCTTTTGGCGCTGTTTATTTAAATTATGCTTTCCAGTTTTCTGGTTTGGAGGAAGCTTGATAACTCACCTGCTGTGCAGATCTCACGTTGTTCTGTGCATTCATACAGCATGTGCTTGAGATTAAAAAACTGCCTACAGTCTGGAGCGTTGTTAAGGTCTGCCTGAATCTGAGAGCATTCGAGCTGAGCCAGAGTTAATAGGTCTGATTGATCAGGTTGGCTCCACGTGGAGTTAGCTTAGATGTCACTTCGCTACTCTCCCACATCAAGTAATTTGGTTCAGAAAAAGCAAGTTGGCTGTGAAAGAAGCTGCCTTAACTCTACAGGAGCAGCAAAGCAGCCTCTGGGCTAGAGCTGTCTGGAAGCAGGATACCTATGTTCATTTGTTGTAGCACCCAAGTTAATAAACCCAGCCTGATACGGAGCAGGCTTTGCTTAGAGCCAAAGTGGTATCTTCGCAGCTGTGCCGCAACTATGATAGTCAAATTAGATAAAGTGTCCCTGGCTGTATATATGAAACAAATATTCAGAGGCAGAACAAACCTTTTAAGTTTAGTACTATATTCATGGCATGCTGCAGTTGATGTAAAAATTTGCTAGAAATGTGTTTATATTGATCTAATTCAGCATATTCCACGCTTGCTCTGTGCTGTTGCACTGACATAGAAATAAGAGCTAAGCCAAAACATAAAAGCCATCTAATATATTTTTTGTTAACAGGCATGGATGGTCAGAAGCACTTGCAGGTATCAAAAGCCCCCATGTAAAATACATTTGCCCACACGCGTAAGTTTGTAACTTTTCTTGTTTTGCATTTTTCTGTGGAGTTACTTATTAAGACACTTGCACAGATGATGAAGTCAAATGGGATTTGGATGCCTCTGCATTTCGTTTTTATATAAAAAAACCACTCTAAAATGATGTTGGTGCTATAAATATATTGTTATTTTTAATTATATGTTATATTTTAAATAACACATTTAATATGTTATTAATCATACAGCAGTATGATTTACTTTATGGCAAAACTGCATTTTTATTAATATTTTGCTTTGGTTACTAATTCAGACTGAAAACATATTTGGAAAGTTTTATGTGCAAAGTTAGATTGTTTTGACTATATTTTCACTGGATTGAGTTGTTTGTTCCTTCCCCCCCCCCCCCAGTCATTTGTTAAAAGCTAGTCTTAACAAGGAGTAATTTTTTGTATTTTACTGACCATTAAATATACTCTGTAGTAGGTACATGTACTTCTTAAACTCGGGTGCATGTATAGTAGATGAAATTTCCTATTACCTACAGCAAGTTTCACAGATTCACAGGTTATTCATATTTTCAGCAAGTAATGTGATTTGAGCTGTCTTTGTGCAATTTGAGAAGTGAAATACTTCTGAGCAGCGTCAGGAGTCAGTAAATAAAGCATTAAGATCTATCTAGTATTTACTTAATGATAGAAAAACTAATTAAGTATAATCTTAATTTATTTTAACACGAAATTCAGATTGTCTTTTGCTCCAGCAGTCTTGGGAGACGTGGAGCAGGGATGATAGGGAGATAAGTAAGCAATGTTTTGTTTGGTGTATTACTGATTACTGGGCTGTGATTTATGTATTTATTTTACCACATGGCCACGCTTTGCTGAGCCATTCAAAAAGAGCTTAGCAATATCTGCTGTTCTTTTTGCTTGCCCTTTGTCTCTTTTCGGTCTTTCCCCGCAGAACTTAAGTTCCTCAATTTCAGCAGATTAAAACTATAGCCAGATTTGATCCATGGCATGGTCCATTGAAGTTGTCTTGGTATGTCTGAAAAGATGCCATGCAGCAGCATAAGGGTGGGAATGAGTCCTGCAATAAAGGCAGGCACTGCTTAAGCAGATTCTGCTGTTGAGAGAAGCATGTGTGGCCAGGCTCCTATCCGCCGCTATGCTGCATTTGGCCGCTTTCTTAGGTTTGCTGATGCTGCTGTGTAAGGTGCCTTCATCCACTCAGCATGTGTATGGAACTGTGATAATTAACTGTTACCTAGAAATAACTAAATGAGGTACATGGGTGTGTGACGTATATTTCTCTATATCTGTATCTCATATGTATATGCTGTATATGAACACACGCACATATTTATATAAAGCAGTCCATTAGTGTTTTGCTTGCTCTCCACAAATCGTGGTAATTCAGCTGTGAATATTAAATGTGTTTGGGCTGGCAAGTTTCAAGAGAGATTTCTTGAAGAGATGCTACAAAGTAGCTAATGTTAATTATGGTTTAAAAGTAAGACGGAATTAGGGATATGTAATTTCATGACATAACTGCATCTGCGTTATTAAATTTCAGTATGTATCTTATGTCAGTGTTGTTCATTCTCATTTCTAGGCCAGTTATGCCAGTTTCTTTGAACATGAACATGGCTATGCCATCATGGTAGGTATTTGTTCAGTTGCAGATGATTCTAATCAAAAGATATCTAGGGGTTTGAACTCATTGTTCTTAATTAAAAATCATGAACAACCTGAATGGCTAGTTTTAATCAGATGTAAGTATAGAAAGCTTTTTGCCTGAGTTCTGTTCTTATGAAAGGGCTCTCATGAGTATGCTCTAATTCCTTGTGTGTCTATGGTAATGGTTGTTCCTCAGGACTAATCTCTATGTCTTACAATAAAAAAATTACTTTATTTTACAAGTGTAGTCTGTCATCTGTATTGTGTGTGAATTCATAGTCAGTAGTAGTAGAGTCTTGCAGTGGAAACATTATTGCTACTAGTGAGTAATATTTGGTGGGTCAGTAGGATATCTAGAAACTATTCTTTGAAACATCCATTCGGAATAGAAAGCAAGAAAAACATGGTAGATTTCAGTGGTCTTAAACCAGTCCTCCTCATGCTTTTTTTTCTCTCAAGTGACTTGTGTTTGTTTTTACTGTATTTCTTCAAACAATATTTTAATTTTATACATGCAACAGCTGCTTAATCTGTAGTAACTTACAGAAGATAGCAAAACTCAGAACAACTCTGTTGACTAGATCTAGCTTTTTAGCCACGTTCACAGATTGCCCACTATTTCTTGTAAGCTATGGATGGTTGGTACTGAGTAACATGTCAGCTAACATTTTTATCTGGAAAATATCCCAATTTTATTATTTGTGTTTTAAGGAAGTGAAATGGATGCTCTAATGAGTAATTCTCTTGTTGATATTTTTGTAAGGTTTGATATCATTGGACTTTCTCCAGATTCACAGGAAGATGAAGCTGGGATCAAGCAGGCAGCGGAGAATGGTATGCTTAGGAATACTTTTTATGGCTTAAAAGTACTTCCGTGTATTCTTAAAAATGAATTATCAGTCTGAAACAGATTTTCTAGAGACAAAATTGTTAGGGAAAGCAATATATATATATAGTGTTACTGCTGATCAAAGTTTAGCTAAGTGCATAGTTTGTTTTCTGTTTTTGTTTTTTTTTTTAAACTTCATGAGTAGGTAGAGTAATTCACCAGTACAAACACTTAATACTCTCAAATATGAAATGTACATGGGAACCAGTATACTTTATTTTTTTTAAGAGCTTCTTGGTAGCACAGCAGGTTAGAGCTGTATGAGCATTCAGCTGTGATACTGGATAGTTAGAAGAGGATACCATCTTCCTGGCAGTGGGGCTTTTGCGAGACTTACTTGCATGTTTTTCTCCTTGGAAATGGTACAGTGGCACTGGAATTTCTGATTATGCTCTAGATCTTTTGATACTTTTTAATGACATACTAGATTTTCCTTTCATTAGCTTTCTGTTGACATCATTCCTCTTCTAGACTTTCTACAGAATGGAGTGGTTTTTAACTACTGGCCTTTATTTATGTTGCAGTTAAAGCACTGATAGATCAAGAAGTAAAAAATGGAATTCCTTCTCATAGAATTATTCTGGGAGGCTTTTCTCAGGTAAGGTATGATTGGAAAGAACTGTGTCTTTTTCTAGAGAAGTAACCTAGCTTTCCTAACATGGGAAATCTAGACAATGGAATTGAAAAGAGCTGATGTTGGATGCTTCTAAAATTGTAAAGTGTCAATTTTCCTTTGCCTTAACAAATGAAGTTTTTTAGTTTTATGCAAATAATTACTATTCACTGGAAAATCAACATGCACATGGAGAAAAGGTACTAAAAGTTAATAGTCTGCTTAAAGTCTTTATGCATGTAACTTATGTCGCTTTGCTTGAAAATCTTGCTAGTATTTTTAATTTAATTTAATTTGGTAGATACTTGGTGGTCTGGATTTATTTGGGAAATTCTTCCTCTCATCTTGTAAGACATCTGTGGTAGGTAGATTAATAGATTAATTGGTCCATACACCAACTCCCCAGTCTGCATGCAAATAAATGAAAATATTAAAGTAGTGATAATGCTATCATGACTGATAGTGCTTTATTTCATGTTTTGGGTTTTGTTTTTTTTCCCCCCAGCTGTTTGCTACAGTAAATTTGCTGTTTTACTTCTGAATTGATCACACGGACTTGGAAGAAAGGAAAAAACAAAATAAATGTTGTACAGGAATACTGGTTTTAGTATTGGTTCTAAGGAAGAATAGATTGGAATAGAAAAAGACCTGTAAAGGAGAAACCAGAGATCTTGAAACAAGCATTAAAAGGAACATTACCATCACCATTCTAATATTTCTATCTCTTTATCTTAGGGAGGTGCTTTATCACTGTATACAGCTCTTACCACACAACAAAAATTAGCAGGTGTTGTAGCCCTCAGCTGTTGGCTTCCTCTACGGGCTTCTTTTCCTCAGGTACTTATGTTTCTTTCCTAAGCTAATTTGCACTTGGGGAATGAATATATCTGGAGATTGTATCTTGTGCATGAATTAGTGGCCATTGTTATTACTGAATATTGACAGTTGTTTGATAACTCAGAAATTTTAAAAATCGGGCCCTGGAATTCTAGAGTTTGGCAAGTAGGGAAAATGAGGAAATACTCAGTAGCTATCTCTGCTTAAAATTACATTCCTGGGAAACTTAAAGGACACAGCAAGTTTTCCCTGAAGAGGAATTTTCTATTTGCTGTTTGTTCCACCTGCAAGGCACTATCTTAGTAGAGACTAGGTATTTAAACAAATCATCACGTTTTTTTACTTGGCCAGAAATATGTTCTTCTGTTCTAAAATTAGTGCCAAAATTTTATTTGCAGGTTTTTGAACTTAATGTGTTGTCGGGCACAGAACTTACTTCATAAGGAACTTGCAGACTATGCATTGTGGTTTTTTTCCTTCAGAATTCAACTTCTTTGTCATGCCACAGGGCATAGTGCCATGGGGTTATTTTATCTCAAAGATGTTAGCCTTACCTCCACTTACTGTCTCTTTCTTCTCTTCTCCCCTCTAATTCTACCCCTCACAGGGCCCTATCAGTGGTGTCAACAAGGAGATCGCTGTTCTTCAGTGCCATGGGGACTGTGATCCGTTGGTTCCTTTAATGTTCGGTTCTCTCACTGTTGAGAAGCTAAAGAGTATGATAAATCCAGCCAATGTAACCTTCAGGACTTACTCTGGCATGATGCATAGCTCATGTATTGAGGTAATTTTCTTAATATACAATGTTTTAGCTGGGTATGGTTAATTTTTTTCCCCCTCTCAAAACAAATATGTATTGGGTGGGCAGGGTTTTTTGTTTTGTTTGTTTTGTTTTTTAATAAGTGCTTGTTGCTACTGACTTATTTTAGTGAGTAACTGAATGCCTGGCTGAAAAAGCATCCAAGGCAAAAGTTTGTATGACTAGTGGGAACTTCGTCATAAGATTGTATTTTTGGGACTAAGCTAGTTCGGCTGTAAAATACTCTTCCCCCCTGCCCCTAATTTTTATTATTTGCTTACCAAAAAGAAAAAAAAAATCACTGAATTGGAAGGCAGATGCTCACAGCATAAATACAACTTGGTATTTTGGAGAGAAGAATCTTGTTAATTCTATGGATGGAGACATCAAAGGAATGGAGAGGGAGGGTTGATGCTATGGAAGAGGCAGCCTCAGGACCTATATTTGTGTTTCTGGCTCAGCAGGCAGCTGAGCTGGTGTAATGGCTTGCTGCTGCCAGAAAGGGATGGACTAGTTCCCTCTGCTCATGGCCTTGTGGCCCTCTCTTCCTTCTTGCACCAGCTCTGGAGCTGATCAGGAACTTCTTTGAACCATTTGAACTTGCTAAAATGGCAAAAGCTGCTGGCTTCAGTTTTTGCAGCTGTAGTGAGTTGAAGCATCAGAACTCACACAAAGTAAATTGTAGGAGCAAGAAACAGAAGAGGAGGCAAGGAACAAGTCTGCCATTTGTCAGCAGTAGTAACTTTGTTAATTTGGATTGCTGCATCTTGTGGGAACTGTACCCTTGGACAGCCTCTCTGGGACATGTACACAGTTGTATTGCATTTAGGCAGTAATAGCATTGAGTTGTCACACAATTATATTAATATATGTGCTCTTTCTTACAACATTGACTTAATTTAATTTTAATTTTTTTTTTAATTATTCTTAACATGGATTGGTTTCCCAGTCTAGTTTGCTGTATTGCTTTTCCTTAAGGGAGGAAGCATCATGAATGTGAAACTGAATGGTTAGAAGGCTGCTGGATTTTCACACTGTTTGTGTGAAAACTTGCAAAAGTAAAGTATACACAAAGCTACGGCCTTAGTTACATTCAAATCCTAGCCATGCTCAGCCTGGTGCTGTTCAGGTCACTTGATGATTAATATGTAGCTTGCCAGCTCAACTTCATAGGGAGAGAAAAAGTAGTCTTTGCTTTGTCTTGTATTTTAGCCTCTGAGTGTGTAGTGCCTTGAAGAGTTATCAGCCTTGACTTGTGTGCAAAGTGGTATGATTTTATCAAGGAACTAATTACTCAATATTTGTAGCCCAGCTGCTCATTATAACTGAAATGTTAAAACATGAGTTAGTGTAGCTGAATATATATTAGTAGGGAACTTCAACTAATACATACTTTTATCTTTAAACAGGAGATGATGGATGTAAAACAGTTCATAGACAAACATCTACCTCCTGTAGAGTGAAATGACATGTGAGAAGCCTTCTATATAAGTACACCAGCATCGACTGTGGTAGAGTGTTAATCTTTTCATATGCCTGATAGGAAGCATTACTTCTATACCTGCAGTGTTACTACTGTGTTGCAAATTTATACTTAGGATGAGGATTAAATAATACACATGTACAAGAAATGATCATCTTTTTAGTATTAATCATCCACTGGTGGGACTACATGAATGAAGCAGCTAGGTAACAATGACAAGATGTAACCTAAGCATACTGTTTTAAGAGGTCTAATTTTTTTTGATTGCAGAATTTTAAACTATTTGTACATGTAATTAAAAACTAAATTTAAGCAAGCAACATAAATGTGACCAGTTTAGTTCTACTTGAGACATGATTTGCTCTTAATACTCATTGAAAACATATTAAAACATTTCCTTTATGTAATGGATGCATAAAGCACACAACATGTAATGTAGTGGGCATATGATGGTAGAATAAATGTAACCAAGGACAAAGCTTTAAATATTAAATGTTAATTGCTACTCCACATAAGGAGGGTTGTTCTAGAATGGGTAGAAGTCAGTGAAGGTATTTCTTATATTTAAACAACCTCAATTTTTAACTGTTTTCATATAGGTAGACATTGTGGAAATTCTAAAGGGACTAATTCCTTGTTAGACCGTCATTTGTTGCTTATTGTCTTTTTTTTTTTTTTTTATGACTATAAACTCACATCAAATCCTGACTTGGAACAGAATTCTGAAGAAGTGCATAGGATTAATTTGATTTTCATTTAAAAATTCCTGCTTTCATACTGAATGTTCATCTTGTGCTTTAGTCTTTGTAGCTTTCATTTGTGTAGAAATGTTGATATGCTTCACATGAGCAATTCCAGCATATAGTTTTGTTTTTTCTGTCTGCTTTGGAGTAACTAACTGAAAACAACGCAGCTGTGTAGTTTTGTGTATTGTTGAAGTCTCATCTGTAACATAGACATTGACAAATTTGAATTCTTTTTTATAATAGAAATATAAGTGCAATTGGGATATAACTTACTTAAACTTTTAAATTGATGCCATCTGATACTTTCTTTTACTGCATGTTGAGACTTGATTTTTTTTCTAAAAAAGAACAAATAATTTTATTTTCAAATATATCACTCTACATTTCCCTAGATCAGTATAGCCTAGGAATATGAAGACCTGCTACGGGGGAAAAAAAAAAAATCTACAAGATACAGAATGTCTCTTCTTTCAGAAGCTTAAAATTCTAGAACGCACTGGGTTACAGAATCGATGCACGCTCAGAGCTTTTTGCAGTTAAGAGCCATAATTTACATCTGGAAACAGCTGTTCTTCTGTAGAGTTCAGAGGCTGTCACCGCTCTAGGAATGTTTAAAAAATACACTACAGTTTTTACTACATAATATGCTGCATAACAATGTTCTATACTATGTTTGCAAGCAAAGAATATTCCTATCTTGGATGCATCTGTCGTGTCAGCACTGTGCTTCATACCTGCATTTAAGATACTGTCTCCTCTCCCAGCTTAATCAAGTGGTCCTCTTAGTGTATATGGATTTGTGTCCACCGCATCTGCCAGTACAAATGCATAAATGGGGAATTAGACCTTTATCTCCCTTCTTTAGCACGGCTGAAATCTGACTTGTTCACCTAGTGTGGGTTCTCAGTTTTCCGTGCTTTTTTTGGTATGTATTGCACTTCATTTTTAGGAAGCCCTTTTTCTTTTCTAATCCAGTTTCTCTGGGTTGTTAAACTTCTCTTAATATGTAGAATTGAAAAGGAGTTTTTTTCTAAATGGTACTGAAACACTTCTAGATATTCCATCTGTGTGGTTGGGAGGGCATGTATATTAACTTTGAAGTTTAATTAGTCTTTTCCCTGAGTCACTCTATTCTATAGATCTGCCAATTTGTCTTTCAGTTAATTTAGTTCACAGAAGAAACCATAATATTCTTATTGCAGTTGTGCCAAAGTTCTATTGAGAAAACAATATGTCCTAGCTTGGAGTCATTCCCAAATTGCATTTC